CGTGGTGTGGGGGGCCATATCCTACAGCATGAGATCTGACTTGGCTGTGGTTCAGGGAAATTTGACAGCAAATCGCTACATGAATCAAATTCTTCAACCTCACCTTCTTCCAATCATTGACCGCCAGAAGAAGCTGTTTCAACAGGACAATGCTCCACCGACTACCATGATAATGCCTACATCAACGTTTTGCCCTGGCCGTCAAGATCTCCAGATCGAACACCTCTGGGATGAACTCGATCAACGTGTACGTCAACGTCAGAAGATGCCGCAGACACTCCCACAACTGGCCAACACGTTACAAGCAGAATGACGCAGAATTCCGCAGGACAGAATTCATACACTTATCCAGTCAGTGCCGAGGAGATGCATAGCTGTCATTGCTGCCTGGGGCGGTCACACGAGATACAGCAAGCTCAGCACAACCTTCTGGCCGTATGTGACATGACAATGAACAGTTTTCAATGCCTTTGTACAACGACAAAATGTGACTTTTAAGCCCCAAAATATCATATTTTGTATCTATGATATTAAATTAAATATATATCGACTTTATTAGGTACAATAAATTTACTAAAAATCTACTTGTGCGATTTTTTTTTAAAGAGTGTATATGATATGGCATGGTATGGCTTCTTGTAAACGTGGCACCTGAGATCGTCCCGTAAATACGCTAAATAAGAAATGTCAACAGAGCCAGCGGTTTAATATATCCTGCTATGCTGCTGCATTTAGCCATTTGAACAAATGTCCACGATTACATTACCTTCTTGAAAGATCCTGAAAGAGATGCTCAACAAAGTGTACTGTTCTTGCAGTGAGAGATCACTGTGGTATAATCACCTTTCACGGCAATGTCTGCAACAAACGCCAAGACGTCGATACCATAGAAATGCACCGATATTGCATTTGACGTCGTGTCAGTGGTGGACGATTTTGTGGACGTCGAGTGCAAACGGCAGCAAAATGCAACCTGCTTCTCATGGTAGTCATACCAATGAGAACGTTTGGGTCTTGAAGCATTCATCTTTTTAATGACATGACGTAAGAAACCTGTTTCAAAGGACATGGTTAACATGCACCTATCACTCATCTATGTCTGGACTATTTAGTATACGCAAGAGCATTCTTTGGTACTGCTGCCAGAATTTTGGTACAATACTCTGAGTGCTGTTAACAGCTCAAGTAAGGATTTACAATGTCAGTACTGGACATCGGTGCCTGTTGTCATTTGCAAGTGTTATAAGGTTGATTAGATTGTTCACACATAGAGCTCCAAGTACAGATAATGACATTTGGTTGTGTTCGGGTGTTACATGGCCATGTGACCAAGAACACAAGTTTTGAATTTCGGTCATTGTTAACCTGCTCCTGTACAATATTTATCCGTGTTCGCATGTCCATGCATAAGTCTTCATCATCATGTGGTCTTACACAGCTGGGCTTTGTTTTATTTTCATGTTATAAGCAGGATGGCTTTCACAAAACTGAACAATATGGGTCACCCATCAATTTGCGTTTAGTATAGCTGTACACGTTTCAGATGTTTAGAGTTTTCCAGGTTTGGTAATTCTTTTCCAATAGCAGTGCCAGGTGATCTTACAGTTAACAGTTAAGTGGCTGGATGCTAATACTACCTGCTGAGTTGCATTATGTTGACAATTTAAATCTTATTAGAAGTAACATATGTGTATATTGTCCTGAAATAGATGTAGGCACGTCAGTATCTCTTTATGTTGATATCATCTTCTGTTCAAATCATCAGAGTGTAATGTTTATTTAGAAAACAATTTAACAACAATTCTGACATCAACTCAGTTACGTGGATGTCTTTGCTCACACTATATGCTGTTTACTATATATCCAGGTGAGCTTCAGTGCGGTGGCACTATTTATAAAGATGTGTTTATAATCTTAAAATCAAATCATCTACTTTTAGTAAACTTTTTTGGAAAATAACTAATATTTATCTCAACATACACATATGTTGGGCAAAAGCACTTCAAAAGTCACAATTTTAGAAAGAATGGTCGTAAAAAACGTTGCATTGTTGTCAGGTGAGAAGGTATTTGATGTGAAACTACTCCCCCAAACGCCATATGTCAAGTACGTACCATATTTTGTTGGTATCCGTGTATATACTGAACGCTTTCAGCTAGTCACTGTTCACAGCTCCCGGGTACTGGCTTGGTGCTACTGATCTGAACTACACACACTGGGCTCCTGGACAGCCTGATAACTACAGAGGTGTCGAACACTGCAAAGATTGCAAAGGACACGGGAAACTATCAATTGAATGATATAAGATGTGATAAAATATCACATTTCATTTGTGAAAAGGAACTTTAATGACAGACCGGATGTACTGCTGTGTCAAATAAAGGGCTCAGCTAATCATTCTTGTATTGTTGTTTTCATCAAGACGTCAGTGTATCACGACACATTTGACATTGAAACACAAGGTAGACATTGTGCCATAACAATTAATAGAATATCAGGAGTGTTTGGAAGGCTTGTCACCAAAACGGGAGCCATAGTATCAGCATAGCTAATGTGACTAATTGTCTTTTGTTTAACGCCACAGCTACATTAGGACCGTCTGTAAATAATCGAGGCACAGACAATCCTGGAACTGACATCATGAGCATCGATCTATGCAGTGCACATGCACAATCCAATTCAGAGATCCCGTTAGCATAAGTGACGTAAAACCCTCCATATGTACACCCACTTAGGTAATAACATACTGGATCCTATAAACATGCTGTATCTGCTAACCGCGAACCTGCCCATCTGAAACTCTCAAGTGTACAGGACGCTTAGGTATGCTTAAAGAATGAATGTGTTTCCAGTTGGTCAGACATTACATTTTCATGATTGGGGTTGTATATGTAGTGCTGGATATGTTACTATGCTTGTCGAAAGAGGTGACTAACAGGATCCGGTCGTCGGACTCGCTGACTTGGTTGATGCATGTCACCGTATACCAATTGCGTTGATCGATGCCCATGATGTCAATCACTGGATTGTCTGGTCCAGAATCGATTAATTATAGACCGCCGCCCTTTAACTGGAATATTGCGGAGTGCGGCAACAACAAACGAATAAATAGGTGCAACATACCAAAGGGCCTTGACATTGCAAACAATGGATTTACCAGATACCGATACACACCTATCCTTCAAACATAAATTTAGAAGTCTGTGGAATATGCTTAGCATTTTGCTCCAGTTATCATCAGGTGTGGTGCTGCTGGTAAACATAACACCCAATTTTTTACAAGAATCGGGCCATTGTCTACTGATGATCGTCCGTAAAACGCCATTGCCCAAGTGTGATGACCTTTGTACACGCCATGTTTAAGCAAACACCAGTACCACTAACGCACCACTCACTCCCTTCTGTAGTATGTCCATCTGCGATCATCGCCTGACTGGCTGAAAAAATGAACTTCTGAATGGTCAACCGTTTCAGATTCCAGCAGGCTGCTTGGTCCATGGAAAGTGGCATCTCATCCGGTTTGAAAAAGAAATTAGACCCCTCTGCACCCTTTGAGGCTGACCAGTCCACACCTAAGGTGTAAATATAACTGGTCAGCCTCCTTTTACCTCTTCAATATACTGTGCATCCTTCTTCCTAAAAGAGGGGAACACAACGTCCATTAACTTTTATCACGCCTGGCAATTCTCTGAAGTGATCCCTAGGTCAGGTCCTTGTCAGGCTCAGTACCTACTCTACCGGTGTGCACCGTGACAATAGCTCCTGTAGACATCCTGTATGGCGTGGTGACGGAAGGTGGGGAACTTCAAGAAGACCCTTCCATTCGTAGAACTGAAAAAAACCCACACAAACTACCTACACAAGTACTGTAAAGTATGCTCTACAGTGTCCGTCAGTTTCTTAGTTTTAACACCAAGTTCTAGCATTGCTAATCTTTGGTGGGTCTTGCCCGTTCCATACTAGTAGGTAGGTTGGTAGGTAGGTATGTAGGCTGAATTATGAAAAGTCATAATGGCCCTTAAGGGAGATATTGAAAGGTAATGACCCAAAGGAAACTACAGTTTTATTGGGTAGAGTTAGGGTTAGGGTACAGGTGGTTGAGATGAGGGACTTGGGACGCCAGAAAGGTTAAGGGATGATTGGCTTGTGCTCTTGAGTGTTGGCAGTGTTCAATAAGCAGGGTTGTGTAGGTATATTTGACAGCGTTATGAATAGAAGTATTGTTGTTTATGTCTGCGGGGTCGAGTGGCACATTGAGGGACTTCGGCATTGACCTATGGAACAATATGGAAATGTTATATATAAGAATTGAGTTTACGTGAAGATGTGAGAATTGAGTGCGGGCTTCAGAGGAGACGACACAGGGGTAAGGGTGCGGCAAGGGAGGCCACTGTTGTAGAAGTGAGGACCTCGCAGAGGACAACTTTCAGTGGCGAGATAAGGGACACTAAATGAGACAAAGGTTCACACAACCACACATTTCTACGTCAAACATATGTTCAATACTAGATGGATGAGAGAGAGGGATTTTAAGTACGCTGCTATTGACCAATCATTTTTACAGGCATGCACTTCAGCTCAATCAGGTTTCTTGTAAACATAACTCAACATATATTCCACTTCCGATCAAACATGCAAGATTATTGACAAGGAAAACGAGACAGAATTTTATATTTTTGCTCTTTAGGCTGCATAAAGATGCGGATTTCATTCGGTACGCAGGGGAGACAATTTTAGAGTAAACACTCAGCACTGGATAGCAGAGTTATAATTGTGAAAAACAGAGAAAACTGTGAACCTGACTTTTCCCAAGTACACCCTACTCAGTTTCCAACAAGTGTTTAGTTTAGGATACCCCCAAAATGATGCTTTCTGTATTTCAAGTTCGAGAACCCTCAAAGATCTCAGAGAATGCAACCTCTGTATTAATGTGTTGCTTTTGTTCACGTTAAAGTGTTATTTAGATATAAGGTTTTATTTTAAACAGCATTTTGGTAAGCGTTTGTTTCTGGTTTAGTTGAAGGGAAGTAACTCTGTGTGTTGGGAATTGATTTCAAACTCCACCTTCCTTTGTCAACTCTAATACGCTGTCCTCATGCCGGTTAGATTTACTTGTATCAATGTGCACAACACATTTTGTCAGTATGGTGTACTTGAAATACATCTCATTAATCTTGAGGCTCATTAAAGCAGAATAAAATTTGGTGAAGACTTCAAAACATTAACTCTTAGCAGGTTGATTTTATGTACGCTTCATACACTCACGAAATAATATCATAAATCGTCTTGTTAATTTGCTGCGGACGCCCTGCGGATGTCAAGATATATATTTACTAACAGTTCAGGAAACCAATGAGTAAACATTCAGGAAGACAGAAAGGTGAATATCACAGATTCCACAAAAAACACACAGAAAAGTAAAACATTTATTTACCAAGACAACTGTGTGAACTAACATCAGAAGGATGAAGTGATGGCATAAAAACGAAAACACGCATGTACCTTGTCAACTGTATGAACTAACATCAGAAGGATCAAGTGATGACATAAAAACTAAAACACGCATGTACCCAGACAACTGTATGAACTTACATCAGAAGGATCAAGTGATGACATAAAAACTAAAACATGCATGTACCTAGACAACTGTATGAACTAACATCAGAAGGATAAAGTGATGGCATAAAAACTAAAACACGCATGCACCTAGACAACTGTATGAACTAACATCAGAAGGATGAAGTGATGACATAAAAACTAAAACACGCATGTACCTAGACAACTGTATGAACTAACATCAGAAGGATAAAGTGATGGCATAAAAACTAAAACACTCATGTACCTAGACAACTGTATGAATTAACATCAGAAGGATCAAGTGATGACATAAAAACTAAAACACGCATGTACCCAGACAACTGTATGAACTAACATCAAAAGGATGAAGTGATGGCATAAAAACTAAAACACGCATATACCTTGACAACTGTATGAGTAAGTGAATGAGTGAGTGAGTGAGTGGGTATGTTTTTTACGCCACCTTTAGCAATATTCCATCAATTTTACGGCGGGGGACACCACAAATGGGCTTCACACATGACAACTGTATGAACTAACATCAGAAGAATGAAGTGATGACATAAAAACTAAAACACGCATGTACCTAGACAACTGTATGAGTAAGTGAATGAGTGAGTGAGTGAGTGAGTATGTTTTTACGCCGCCTTTAGCATAATTCCATCAATATCACGGCGGGGGACACCACAAATGGGCTTCACACATGACAACTGTATGAACTAACATCAGAAGGATGAAGTGATGGCATAAAAACTAAAACATGCATGTACCTTGACAACTGTATGAACTAACATCAGAAGGATGAAGTGATGACATAAAAAATAAAACACACATGTACCCAGACAACTGTATGAACTAACATCAGAAGGATAAAGTGATGACATAAAAACTAAAACACACATGTACCTAGACAACTGTATGAACTAACATCAGAAGGATGAAGTGATGACATAAAAACTAAAACACACATGTACCTAGACAACTGTATGAAGTAACATCAGACTGATTTAATAAAAAGATCAAAACTAAAGCACGCATGTACCTTGACAATTGTATGAACAAACATCAGACGGATTTATATAAAGAGATCAAAAGTAAAATATTCATGTTCCAAGACAACTGTATCAACTAACATTAGAAGATTGTAATACGTATATTAAACACACAGGACACTATGATTACTTGATTCAGGACCTTACTTGTGAATGTGAAGTTCAAAAAGTCCTGCACGAATTGTTTTATACAATATATAAAATGAGGATATTCTGCCAAAAAAACACATCGGGTTTATGTGTACTGATGTTAATTGAATTTCAATTTATCATCCGTAAATCAATCTGATACTTTAAATTATTTGTTCATCCACCGGGACTGGAGTGGCCTTGTCACATAAGGTGCTACGACTCGCGAGCGAAAGATTAATTTTGCCACACGACTAAATACATAACGATAGTAACTATGTCTCATACAACCAAAAGAGACTATATTTGTACAGGAATGTTATTGGCACACGTCTCCCTCAATATATTCCAGATATACTGTGTTAACACAAACTCACAGAAACGTCCTGAGACATAATTATATTGTTAAAGCCCCAGGCATAATTCTGAGTCAGACAGTCCCAACTGACCAATCACAATTAAAAACACTTGTTTTGGCTCGTGGTTCGTTTCCCGCTCGTTGCACTCTGCAAGACGGTTTTGATGTGTCATCAGATGACACAATGTGATGTGAAGGGATCGAGACGAAAACATGTCCTGTTTGTCGGCATTGCACAAACGTTGCGAAACAAAGGCTGAAACAGCTAATTTTTATTTTCTTACATTCATTTTGATAAAAAATATATTCCGTATTTCTTTTCCAGAAGATACCCAATACCAAGTTTGTTTTCTCAGACTCAATGGAAAGTTGAAAGATCAATACGAGTTGAAAAATACATTAATACACCTGTATACATATACTATCTAGGATCCGTGATGTTCGGCCTTGTGTAGATCTTGACCTGTGAAAACAATACTGGAATGTGGTTATCAGCAAAATTGTCATCTGCATATAGTATCCATGAATGATTACAAAATACCTCTGTATAACATCAGGATGTTATATTTCATAATTAAATTATAAGGCAACAGGTACACGAAACAATGTTTGGACATGTTTTACATCATGCCATACACATATATATTCATAGAGTATGGGCTTGAATTAAAGGCGATGTTATATTCACATATAACAGTGTTGGGTTTGACTCCCTTGACCACAGAGTGCCGGAAGGTACCAATGAGTACAAAAATATGGTTATATGGTTCTGAAAATCTACACAATGACCTACCAGGCATGAAGGCTCAGTGGTGGAAATAAATTTGTATGTTGGCATTGAGGAATTGTTTTTGTCCCACGATAATGAATTTCCATTCACAGCGTTACTGTTACATGTCATAATAACGCGTGAGACCTCCATCACGTCGGGCTTAGCTCTCACATTAATCTGACACTAAAATGATGCTTTACGTAGCATTACACACAACTCAATCACTCATTCACTTGTCTAAATAAAATGGCTTACCCTGGAGCCTTTGACTTCGGGAGTTCGTTTTCTTTGACTCTTGTCACATCCTTTAATTGTGATAAAACAGGAGGTTATTGATGTAAATGCCAATTGAGGCACTGATGTGTCTGACGCACACGTATGGCTGATCAATTATATTCTGCTAATGCTTGTCTGTTACTAATATTGAACGGCACACTCAGCAATATTCCAACTGATGGTTGATGGTGATTCAGAACAGGAATGCCCCTTCGGAGGTCATATCATGCAGCTGTAATATGCCAGACTGGACAGTGTGTGTCATCAATAGGTATTCTAGAAACTTGATGAGTTTCAGAACATTTGAATACGTGTATGTAAAATTATCAAGAACAATTAGAGGAACACCTACCGTTGAGTAGCACTGTATGTAGTCTCCACCTTCACGATGTCCAGTGGAGCTGTCTGTAGTGAGGTGTGTGCCTTCAGAACGGGAACGTCTGTAAAAGATAAGGGGAAATCTGTAAAGTCATATCTAATTTTGACTGGAGCGTATAATATATTGTTTTGGAATCCTAACTGCATATAGAAATCTTATTTTTGGTTTATAAAAATACTTGATTAAATAAAGTTTATTAATCACAGACTGAAAAGACAACATATTTTGTCAACGGCATCGATGAACTGTTATTTGGCTTAGCATCATTTATAGTGAGTGAGTATTGCGTTTAGTAATATTCCAGCAATAACACCAGAATGAACATTTTGTGGTGACTCACTTCTGATGTGATCATTGATGACTTTGAGGTATCAAACGGATGGGCAATAAACTATGGTTTGAGCAAATGTAATTGTCATTTGGTCCACGTGAACTCTGGATAGAAAAGGATAGAAAAGCAGCATCTTTGTAGGTTTCTTACATTCTTGAATCTGGAAGTTGACATCACGGACTTGTTGCAGTTTACGTGAAGTTTCCTCCCGAAGAGCATTCACCATTTCCACTTCACTGCGAGGATATTTTCTTCCTCTGTTTTCTTCCCGCTGAATCAAAGTTGAAATTAGACAACAATCACATGCACCTTGTCTCTCGGTGCTTACATTTATAGCCAGTGGTCAGATGACCTTGGCTGTAAAGTCGACGATGGATAAAAGGTACATAATGTTAACATACCTGTGAAAGTCTCGGTTTCATATTGCCTGCAATGTCCCCAACATTAGTGTCTCCTGTCATGAACGTTCTGCAAAACAAAATAAGTGTTGAAATCATCATATACATATAGTTTTGATGCGCTCATAGAACCATTTCTCTGTGAGAAGTGGTTAACTTTACACATGTTTAACCACTTCTCACATAGATATATAACCTCATGGTAATGAGCATTACCCTTAGCTGCCAAACGTTACACAAGGATGGTCACAAATTTGTTTCTAAATTAGCTCATTTTAATAGGTAAAAGTTGTCATTTAGCTGTTATGGGGAATGAAACACACTTATGTCCTGGAATTTGCTGTTCAGAATTGCCTCTGCTTTTTCCATGCCCCTGTTACTTTCTTTTTTGTCAAAGTATTTGGGATATACAATGTAACCGAAATAGTGTTCAAAACAACATAATTCACAACTCACTCACTCACTCACTCACTCACTCACTCACTCACTCACTCACTCACTCACTCACTCACTCACTCACTCACGCACTCACTCACTCACTCACTCTCATGGTCACCTTGACAATTGCTGGCAGGATTTCTTTTGCTGGATGATTTCTTCTTCACTACGATCCTGCATTCCTTTAATGGTTTGGGGGATCCACAGTTTCTCATCGTCTTTCCCACCAGGGACCGGTTGTCTTGTACCAAATGCAACGTTGGTTGCATTGGATGCTTTCTCACATTTGTCTAGAGTTATTTGCGAAGAGACTTGACACCCGAGATGTTCCAGCTCAATGCTTTTCTCCTCAGAGCGATCCTGCATTCGTTCAATAGTTTCAATACGCTCATAAAACTGTTCCTCTGTGTGGAGCCATAGTTCTACATCATCCTTCTCACCAGGGACCAGCGGTCTTGTACCAACAGCAATGATGAAGGCATTGAGCATGTTCTCGCATTTGTCTTGGGTCATTTTCAAAGAGAAGAGGTTATTGTATGCGCGGGCCTTCTTCTCCATGGACATCAAATCTCTATGAAACGTGTCTACACTGGCAAGATCATCATCGTCAAGAAGTCCGTACATGCAGCTGATATGTTCATCTGTAAACTGTCGAATCCTCATTGTAACCTTCCTCGTCAGTTGCAGGATGTACTTTAGCTTCTCCCCCTCGTTTTCATGTTTGTGTTTGACAACACATAGGAGCGTCACTGCTTGACTTGAAGAAACATAGAGGGCTTCAAACATAAGATCACTGGGTATCTTGGCGTCAGAGACTGTATCTATATTCAGTAGTTCTGAAAGTGAGTTAGTCATGTACAATAAACCAGTCGTATCTCCTTGATTCTTGAATGTTGTTTCCAGTCTATGTCTCAGAAGTCCCTTTGATTCTTGGTGAAGAGATGTTTTGTCATACCGAACAGTAAGCCCTGAAAAAAATTAGTAATGACAGAAATCATCTTTTAAGATCATGTTGCATATACATGATAATATACAAATATTTGGATGGCCAATGTCTTTGATTATTTCAAACTTATGGCTGGAAAATATCTCTCTAGCTTCATATGATTTTTTGTTTGTTTGTTGTTTGACGACATATTACACAACTGAACAACATAAGTTGGGGATCAGGAATATTTTTGGGGATCATTTTTGTAGTGAAGACTGAGCACGCAATTTCATAAAAATATCTCACAAATTAAACATGATCCCTAACTTTTTGGTTTAGTATAGATGGAAACGGACCTGTATTGATGAAACTGTCCCGAATCCTTCTGAAGGAATCATCGTTTTGTTTCAGGATCGGAAGGAAAGGATCATTGCTGGGCCAGGTTTGAGCATTCTGCGTCCCCCGACTTACGTCTGAAGCAAAAGTCAAATATGCAGCTGCTGAACATTAGTTAGTGATACATGTGGTTCAAATATCTAAAGGAATAAATACACAAAGCTTTTATGATAAATATTTGTGTACCGATCACGGGTACCTTTTATTTCTTAACGCAGTTTTGAACACAGATACTGTTTGGACGTAAGTGTTTCTTCTTTTGCCTGATGGTCGGTGAGGTAGCCTAATGGTTAAAGCGTTCCCTTGTCACGCCAAAGATCAAGGTTCGATTCCCACTTGGGTACAATGTGTGACGCCCATTTCAGATGTCCCCCGCAGTGATATTGCAGGAATACTGTTAAAAGAGATGTAAAACCCAACTCACTCACTCACTCTTTGATATAACAAATACCATATAGGAATATATTATACACACACAGTGCCAGCATATAAATTGGCAATGTTTTTTTAACAACGGTACTTACCGTCCATTTCGGAACTTTCCTTGCCAGGTATCAAAACTGAGTTTCTGTATATTGCCATGTTCCGTTATGCTATAGGATTCTGGACCTGAGTCATAGAAAACACACCCACTCAAGTATCCAACTGCGATCTCTAATATGAATTTTCCTGGTCGTATTCCATAAAAAAGAATATTCCATAGTAATTCTCTTTGCACTCCCGGAGGTTTGGGGGAAATCACAATTACATCCTTGATTAGTTTTTTTAGACTTGTTTTCAAGTTCCTAAATTCATCAGGGGAAGGCCAGTCGAAGCCAGTGCGATCTATTGTCATGCGATTATATGTATTTCCTCTTGTTATTTGTACTTCTTCCAGGCGTTCGTCGATCCCAAATATGACTGAACCACCTTCAGGCAGCTTTGTTAAGGATGTTATATATTTCTTCAATTTAAGATCATTCCACAGGTACGAAGCAATCAGCTGTCTTGTTTCCAACTTCTTAAATTGTAAGCATCTACTTTCTTGAAAGCATGATGCATTTGCTCTACTATTTAGGTGTCCTTCCTCAAAGTGAGCGTCACCAGAGTTGAGTAAATCCCGAATCACACTTTGAGGTGTGGGCTTAATGCTGAAATCAGTAATCACTGACGTGTTGTAATCAGCTGTGCAAACAATGGATGTAGCTTCAACCTTCAATGCCACAAATTCATGTGCATTTCTATGTTTAGGTTCATTTTTATTTTCATTTAACCAATCTTTTTTATAAACATTAGCAAATTGCTCTTTTTCATGAAGAAGTGCTTCCAATATTGGATCAATGTATTCATTCAGAAAGTGCAAAGACCTGTCATCCCTGGTAATTCGCTGGATATGTATAAACAGAACACCACCTGTTGTGTTTCGTAAAGCTGAAATCTTTCTGCGAAGTTCTTTAGTTTTGGGTTTTCTCTTTTCTTGTTGCTTCTTGTTATTAACCACAGTTACATCTACATCCAGACTTAAGCGATTGTTCTCTGTAAAATGTGTATTCTCTATCACTCGTTTGCAGTCACTGCATCCTCCTGAAAACAACATGTATATTGTTCACTTATTGTAAAATCGATATTATTTGTCCTGCTCTTTTGGAAATCCATGTGAAAACAATGTACACTTCTTTCCTTAATGTCCCAATTACAGAAATATCATGTTCACTAACATTATAACAGCTTGAAGTACACGCACTATGCCAAGTATTCTCTATGGTTATGAATTGCCAGCTGAAAGTCCCAATAATATATGTATGTATGTGCGTGCGTGCGTGCGTGCGTGCATGTGTGTATGTATCTGTATATATATATATATATAGAGAGAGAGAGAGAGAGAGAGTGAGAGAGAGAGAGCGAGAGAATCTCACCCGACTGTCTTTTGATATGAAATATATCAACACGAGTTGATAAAGTTGAAAAATTCCGTGGCTTGCTGGAGTGTGTAAATACATTGTGACGTCACAGTTGTATTTTATGACGTCATCATAAGTATGACGTCATTATATGTCATTGTCAGTTACACTGAAGAGCTGGACTAACGTGGACTTTTTATAGAATACTAAACGAGCTCCCGTGTAGTACCAATTTTATGAAACGAGTGAATAGTTCTGGTATCTGACGAGCGAAAGCGAGTCAGATACCAGAACTATTCACGAGTTTCATAAAATTGGTACTACACGGGAGCGAGTTTAGTATTTTATTTATTACTCGTCATTTGTACCAACGTAAAAATCAGCTGATTGACTCCGTACGTCGCATCCCGAGTTCAAATCAGGTCATGCGTATGAATACAAAGTCATGTAAATAGTCATCGTCAAGTGCATCTATAATATCAAAATTTTAGCAATTCCAATGGAGAAAACACCCGAACGCTCTTTTTTTCCACAATAAATCTACTTTAATGAACTTCCTGGGAAACTTCGAAACTGCGGTAATGTTTCGAAAACAATAACAAAACAAGTTTATTCATTCGTTGACAAGGCCAAGGTCACAACGTCACATGACCGCAGGCAGAGGGATTCCCCCGATGACAGTCTGTTTTCAAACTTTCTATCACTGGCGATTCATGTCTGATGACATGTCACTGCTATGGTTTAGAAAATTTACATTTATCACAGAATTGGTGATTGTACCGGCAAAGATAGAGCTGAGTGTGCGAGACTGGCTAGCTGTCACATTGAAAGTTTGGGATGGAGCAGAGACGGTCGACCGTTGGCAAGTCGGAACACAGAGCAGTGATTGTGAAGTGCAAGAATCACTAGGCCTGTCAATCAATGTACTGATGTGTTTGTGCTGCTCTTCAGAAATTTGTGAATAGTTATTGACACTCTGCACATTTCTATGGCCACTGATTTGCATTATCTGAGTAGGTGGAACATTTTTCTCAGAAAGAGTTTGGACCAGATACTTTCGGGCGGAATGATTCGTCAACCGTTTGGTAGATTCAAGTTTTGCATTCGCTGCCATGCGTTTCATTATGGACCCAAGCTTGTTGATGCCAACAGGTTGTCGCTTAAACCAAGGATGTGTCGGAGCGGGAGCAGTTTTAGAATTTGTTGCCAAGTAGAAAGGCGCGTCATGGCCATTGAAACCAGTTGGTCTAAGGTTTGCATAGCGCTTATACGCAAGGACGGGGCAGCGATTGTCACCTGTCGCCCAAGCTTTCGGCGTGACAGTCCGAACATCCCGGATGTTTACACCAGTGCGTGTTTTGGTTTGCCGCTCAGCAAACTGCAGGTACTCCATTCCATTTCCATCTTGATTCAACATCACGTCTCCCCAGTGCATATTTCTATGGGGAGTAACGCTACGCAGTCGAAAATGTGTCGTGTTGTGCCACCAAAGTGTATTCAAAATGGACTCGGGAGTTTAGAGACCTAATTCCCCGGATTTCCATAATGTGTCAATGTCGTTCTGACTTAATGACTGCGCACGCATAGGTAAGTTTCCGAGACCTTCTTGTTTTAGAATTTTTTGTTTGGTTTTTAGTACCTCCCTGACGTGTGTAAACTCTAAATCGTGCATAATTGATTTCCCGTAAAATTTTGTTTTGAGGTGCCTGTCTATACTGGCAATCATCCCCCTCAAACTTGTGGGCTCATAATCGGACCCGTCTCCCTTTTTGACGTTCATAAAGAATTTGCATAAAAGTTTTCAAAGTTCATGGGCAGGAATGGCTTCTAGTTGTCTGAAGTCATTCTGCTCGTGCATGAATCTAGTGATGATTTTCATGTCATACGCGGTCTTCCTGGAAGTGTTGACATTCTGATTTGTTGCAATGAAATTCGCAATTTTGGAATCGTCACAGTAGGTTGGCGGAACAGGTATTTCATCCCCCTTTAGAGGCACAGGCACAATATAAAAAAAGTCATCTTTGAATAGATCATTAAGATCGAACAAACTGTTGTCATTATCAACAAAGGTGGGTGGGGGTAACATGGCCGAAACTGTCTCCGGAATTCGTTGCGTTCGATAGCGAGGTACCTGTTTCATGGAACCATCATCCAGTTTAACTTTGAACATGCTGTATGTCCCTAAAGGTTGAACAACCGATAGCACCCATCCCTTCAGCTGACCATCAATTTTGACACAATCGTTTACTTTTATAGCTTCGGTTGCCATTGTGATAGGATTATTCACTTGACGATAGATTCATCGTCTGCTATATGTACTTTTATTTTCATGTCGTTTATTATTTCTAAGTCATGAGTATTTTCTCATCCATATATTTAGAACATATTATTTTTTCGATTTCATGATAATTCATCTGAAGAAAAAGTATTTGTAGTCACGCCCTGGTGAGAATCGGTACATTTTGACAGTAGCCATTTTGTTTGGTCATGTGATGTATCATGTGGCCGGCCAAAAATAGTTCCGTGTGCACGTGATGTTATTAAACAATGTGTAATACCGCTGTATGTTTATTAAACGGGTGATCTCTTCACGGATAAATAATAAATTATTTTATTATATATATATATATGTGTGTTTGTTTGTTTGTTTGTTTGTTTGTGTGTGTGTGTGTGTGTGTGTGGGGGGGGGGGGGGGGGGGGGGGGGGGGGGGGTGTTGATACTCAATGTCTCCCCTACCCCTAGTCTCACCACGACATCTACCCCCGCCCACCCCCAACCCCTCGTCTCACCACTTCATCTTCCCCATAGCCTTGCCTCCCCAATGCATTTTCTCTCACCTCATCAATGGATCTTCCCCTACCCCTATAGAAAGAAAATACCTTCATTTTCCATGTCCCGAGTCTGTGTTTCATTTTACTGGGTGGTGGCTTGCGTGTGTCATCTGAAAGAAAAGTTACACTTGTTTTAACAACCAACCGATATAGTTCAAGTGCGTTACAGCAGACCACGGTTTAATGCATCAGCTTGAAATTGAATAAGATATATATATCTTTTGCTGCCACAGTGCATCACTGTACATTTCTAGCTCTACATATCTGATAGGCACACTTTGGTTTGGTTAATGATTTACTGGATGATTGCATTCTGGGGGAAGTTAGACGGGGAAATTCACGAATGTGTAGAGTGACTTGGAATTGAATCAAATCAAACTATATTGAGACAACTGTTGGCAATATGATACGGGTGGTGAAGATGTAATGTTGAGGAACGGGTGGTAAAGATGTAGTGGTAAGGTACGGGTAGTGAAGATGTAGTGGTGAGGTACGGGTGGTGAAGATGTAGTGGTGAGGTACGGGTGGTGAAGATCTTGTGTTGAGGTACGGGTGGTGAAGATGTTGGAGTAAGGTACGTGTGGTGAAGATGTAGTGGTGAGGTACGGGTGGTGAAGGTGTTGTGGTGAGTTACGTGTGGTGAAGATGTTGTGATGAGGTACAGGTGGTGAAGATGTTGTGTAGAGGGTAGGGTGGTGAAGATGTAATGTTGAGGAACGGGTGGTGAAGATGTTGTGGTGAGTTACGTGTGGTGAAGATGTAGTGGTGAGGTACAGTTGGTGAAGATGTTGTGATGAGGTACGGGTGGTGAAGATGTTGTGTAGAGGGTAGGGTGGTGAAGATGTAATGTTGACGTACGGGTGGTGAAGATGTAATGGTGAGGTACGCGTGTTGAAGATGTTGTAGTGAGGGACGGGTGGTGAAGATGTAGTGGTGAGATACGGGTGGTGAAGATATAGTGGTGAGGTACGGGTGGTGAAGGTGAAGTGGTGAGGTACGGGTGGTGAAGATGTAGTGGTGAGGTACGGGTGCTGAAGATGTTCGGTTGAGGTACGGGTGGTGAAAGATACTGTAGTGAGGTACGGGTGGTGAAGGTGTCCTGGTGAGGTACGGATGGTGAAGATGTTGTAGCGAGATAAGGGTGGTGAAGATGTTGTAGTGAGGGACGGGTGGTGAAGATGTAGTGGTGAGATACGGGTGGTGAAGATGTAATGTTGAGGAACGGTTGGTAAAGATGTAGTGGTAAGGTACGGGGAGTGAAGATGTAGTGGTGAGGTACGGGTGGTGAAGATGTAGTGGTGAGGTACGGGTGGTGAAGATGTTGTGTTGAGGTACGGGTGGTGAAAGATACTGTAGTGAGGTACGGGTGGTGAAGGTGTCCTGGTGAGGTACGGATGGTGAAGATGTTGTAGCGAGATAAGGGTGGTGAAGATGTTGTAGTGAGGGACGGGTGGTGAAGATGTAGTGGTGAGATACGGGTGGTGAAGATGTAATGTTGAGGAACGGTTGGTAAAGATGTAGTGGAAAGGTACGGGGAGTGAAGATGTAGTGGTGAGGTACGGGTGGTGAAGATGTTGTGTTGATGTACGGGTGATGAACATGTAGTGGTGAGATACGGGTGGTGAAGATGTAATGTTGAGGAACGCGTGGTGAAGATGTTGTGATGAGGTACGGGTTGTGAAGATGTAATGTTGAGGTACGGGTGGTGAAGATGTAATGTTGAGGAACGCGTGGTGAAGATGTAGTTGTGAGGTACGGGTGGTGAAGATGTTGTAGTGGGGTACGGGTAGTGAAGGTGTCCTGGTGAGGTACGGATGGTGAAGATGTAATGTTGAGGTACGTGTGGTGAAGATGTAGTGATGAGGTACGTGTGGTGAAGATGTCGTGAGGTACGGGTGGTGAAGATGTTGTGGTGAGGTACGTGTGGTGAAGATGTTGTTGAGAGGTACGTCTGGTGAAGATGTTGTAGTGAGGTACGTGTGGTGAAGATGTTGTAGTGAGGTACGTGTGGTGAAGATGTTGTGGTGAGGTACGTCTGGTGAAGATGTTTCGATGAGGTACGGGTGGTGAAGATGTTGGAGTGAGATACGGGTGGTGAAGATAATGTGGTGATGTACGTGTGGTGAAGATGTTGTGGTGAGGTACGGGTGGTGAAGATGTAGTGGTGAGGTACGTGTGATGAAGTATAATGTTGAGGGACGGGTGGTGAAGATGTAGTGATGAGGTACGTGTGGTGAAGATGTTTTGAGGTACGGGTGGTGAAGATGTTATGGTGAGGTACGTGTGGTGAAGATGTTGTTGAGAGGTACGTCTGGTGAAGATGTTGTAGTGAGGTACGTGTGGTGAAGATGTTGTAGTGAGGTACGTCATGTGAAGATGTTGTAGTGAGGTACGTCTGGTGAAGATGTTGTAGTGAGGTACATATGGTGAAGATGTTGTAGTGAGGTACGTATGGTGAGGATGTTGTAGTGAGGTACGTGTGGTGAAGATGTTGTAGTGAGGTACGTGTGGTGAAGATGTTGTAGTGAGGTACGTCTGGTGAAGATGTTGTAGTGAGGTACGTGTCGTGAAGATGTTGTAGTGAGGTACGTCTGGTGAAGATGTTGTAATGAGGTACGGGTCGTGAAGATGTTGTAGTGAGGTACGTCTGGTGAAGATGTAATGGTGAGGTACGCGTGGTGAAGATGTTGTAGTGAGGTACGTGTGGTGAAGATGTTGTAGTGAGGTACGTCTGGTGAAGATGTTTCGGTGAGGTACGTCTGGTGAAGATGTTGTAGTGAGGTACGTCTGGTGAAGATGTTGTAGTGAGGTACGTCTGGTGAAGATGTTGTAGTTAGGTACGTGTGGTGAGGATGTTGTAGTGAGGTACGTCTGGTGAAGATGTTGTAGTGAGGTACGTCTGGTGAAGATGTTGTAGTGAGGTACGTGTGGTGAAGATGTTGTAGTGAGGTACGTCTGGTGAAGATGTTGTAGTGAGGTACGTGTGGTGAAGATGTTGTAGTGAGGTACGTCTGGTGAAGATGTTGTAGTGAGGTACGTCTGGTGAAGACGTTGTAGTGAGGTACGTCTGGTGAAGATGTTTCGGTGAGGTACGCGTGGTGAAGATGTTGTAGTGAGGTACATGTGGTGAAGATGTAATGGTGAGGTACGGGTGGTGAAGATGTAATGGTGAGGTACGGGTGGTGAAGATGTAGTGGTGAGGTACGTGTGGTGAAGATGTTGTAGTGAGGTATGTGTGTTGAAGATGTTGTAGTGAGGTACATGTGGTGAAGATGTTTCGGTGAGGTACGTGTGGTGAAGATGTTGGAGTGAGGTACGGGTGGTGAAGATGTTGTGGCTAGGTACGTGTGGTGAAGATGTTGTAGTGAGGTATGGGTGGTGAAGAAGCTGTAGTGAGGTATGGGTGGTGAAGATGTAATGGTGAAGAACGGGTGTTGAAGATGTAAAGGTGACGTACGGATGGTGAAGATGTTGTAGTGAGGTACGGGTGGAAAAGATGTAGTGGTGAGATACGGGTGGTGAAGATGTTCTTGTGAGGTACGGGTGGTGAAGATGTTGTGGTGAGGTACGTGTGGTGAAGATGTTGTGGTGAGGTACGGGTGGTGAAGATGTAGTGGTGAGGTACGTGTGATGAAGTATAATGTTGAGGGACGGGTGGTGAAGATGTAGTGATTAGGTACGTGTGGTGAAGATGTTGTGAGGTACGGGTGGTGAAGATGTTGTGGTGAGGTACGTGTGGTGAAGATGTTGTTGAGAGGTACGTCTGGTGAAGATGTTGTAGTGAGGTACGTGTGGTGAAGATGTTGTAGTGAGGTACGTGTGGTGAAGATGTTGTGGTGAGGTACGCGTGGTGAAGATGTTTCGGTGAGGTACGGGTGGTGAAGATGTTGGAGTGAGATACGGGTGGTGAAGATGTTGTGGTGAGGTACGTGTGGTGAAGATGTTGTGGTGAGGTACGGGTGGTGAAGATGTAGTGGTGAGGTACGTGTGATGAAGTATAATGTTGAGGGACGGGTGGTGAAGATGTAGTGATGAGGTACGTGTGGTGAAGATGTTTTGAGGTACGGGTGGTGAAGATGTTGTGTTGAGGTACGGGTGGTGAAAGATACTGTAGTGAGGTACGGGTGGTGAAGGTGTCCTGGTGAGGTACGGATGGTGAAGATGTTGTAGCGAGATAAGGGTGGTGAAGATGTTGTAGTGAGGGACGGGTGGTGAAGATGTAGTGGTGAGATACGGGTGGTGAAGATGTAATGTTGAGGAACGGTTGGTAAAGATGTAGTGGAAAGGTACGGGGAGTGAAGATGTAGTGGTGAGGTACGGGTGGTGAAGATGTTGTGTTGATGTACGGGTGATGAACATGTAGTGGTGAGATACGGGTGGTGAAGATGTAATGTTGAGGAACGCGTGGTGAAGATGTTGTGGTGAGGTACGGGTGGTGAAGATGTAATGTTGAGGTACGGGTGGTGAAGATGTAATGTTGAGGAACGCGTGGTGAAGATGTAGTTGTGAGGTACGGGTGGTGAAGATGTTGTAGTGGGGTACGGGTAGTGAAGGTGTCCTGGTGAGGTACGGATGGTGAAGATGTAATGTTGAGGTACGTGTGGTGAAGATGTAGTGATGAGGTACGTGTGGTGAAGATGTTGTGAGGTACGGGTGGTGAAGATGTTGTGGTGAGGTACGTGTGGTGAAGATGTTGTTGAGAGGTACGTCTGGTGAAGATGTTGTAGTGAGGTACGTGTGGTGAAGATGTTGTAGTGAGGTACGTGTGGTGAAGATGTTGTGGTGAGGTACGTCTGGTGAAGATGTTTCGGTGAGGTACGGGTGGTGAAGATGTTGGAGTGAGATACGGGTGGTGAAGATGTTGTGGTGAGGTACGTGTGGTGAAGATGTTGTGGTGAGGTACGGGTGGTGAAGATGTAGTGGTGAGGTACGTGTGATGAAGTATAATGTTGAGGGACGGGTGGTGAAGATGTAGTGATAAGGTACGTGTGGTGAAGATGTTTTGAGGTACGGGTGGTGAAGATGTTGTGGTGAGGTACGTGTGGTGAAGATGTTGTTGAGAGGTACGTCTGGTGAAGATGTTGTAGTGAGGTACGTGTGGTGAAGATGTTGTAGTGAGGTACGTCATGTGAAGATGTTGTAGTGAGGTACGTCTGGTGAAGATGTTGTAGTGAGGTACATGTGGTGAAGATGTTGTAGTGAGGTACGTATGGTGAGGATGTTGTAGTGAGGTACGTGTGGTGAAGATGTTGTAGTGAGGTACGTGTG